TTTGTTGTCCTCTTCTCTCTCTCTGCCTACGGTTTACCGGGCAGTTCTGTTTGTGACGATATATATATATATACGAAGAACAATTTTTTTTAGCATTTTTTTTTTTTTTTTTTTTTGCCATAACAAAGGGAAAAAATAATTGAACTAGGTTCTTTTTTGACAATCGTGTTCATGGTCTGGGTTCATTGCAATAGCAGTATATATATATATATATATATATTTGTTTTATTTTTTGTTTTTTTTGTTGTGCCCAAATAAAGGTCAATTTTTTTTGTTTTTTTGTTGTGCCCACATATATATATATGATATATCTATATATATACAGGGTAACCGGCGTTCGGGACGGGCTGAATGCCTTAACCCGAACGCCCGAACGTCCGGGCCCCCCTATAGACACGTTCGGCCGTTCGGACCGAACACGGACCAAAAAAGAAAAAAAAGAAGAAAACAAAAAAAATAGTCTAAAAACTTTGAAAAACATATATGTTATGCAGACAGACAAACTGAACAACATTTGCCTTAGTGTTACCTCCAAATTCGATACCAAATTGGAATTAAAAATAAATAACGGAAAACAAAAAATAATAATAGAAACAAAAAATTTGAAGAGAATTATAATCAGTGTGCGAGCGAGCACGTTTTACACACCTCCATCTTTGAAGATTTTTTATTTCTCTTTGGAGCGGTGAAATTCCCTGAAAGTTCATAGGTGTGTGTCTCACATGATACAAAACTCATTAAAAAAACATAAAAAATAAAATAAAATTGTTTAGGCCCTGAAACAAAGTGAAAACAAAAAGAGAAAAGAGAAAAAAAAACAAAATAGTGAGTGGGTGAGCACGTTTTGACAGCGCCATCTTTAGCGATTTTTCATTGTTTTTTGGCAAAACCAAATAATCTCAAAATTTAGAGGCATGTACCTCACATCATAGAGAACTTACAAAAAAAAATGCAAGAAAAAATAATATTGTCTAGGGCCCGAAATAATTTTGGGCGGGGGCCGAACCTCTTCAGGTTCGGAGGGGTTCGGCCCCCGAACGTGACCCCGAACGCCCGAACGTAATGAGGTTTGCCCGGGGGCCTCCGTACATACGGGCTGGTAACCCTGTATATATATATTTATATATATCGTCACAAACAGAACTGCCCGGTAAACCGTAGGCAGAGAGAGAGAGAAGAGGACAACAAACGAGGGGTTGTGACATATATATATATATATATATATATATATATATATATATATATATATTCTAACCCTTAAGCAGCATTGGCCAAGGGGAAGGCCGACGGTTCGCTGCGCGCCGGATTCGGGGTCGAAGTTTCGACAAGGGCCGGCGGATGAAGGCGATCGATGGCGGGGCGGCGTGCAGAGAGGTGCGCGTACTGAATTGTTCACAGCGCGCCATTAAACGTGAGAGCGCGCCCACGGGGCGGGGCACACAGCGGGCGTCAACGCGAATGAGGATCTAGAAGGAGAGCCCTCCGATATGCGAGTGCCTTTTTTTTTTTTTTTTTTTCCTTTTTTTTTTTTTTTTTTTTTTTTTTTTTTTTTTTTTTTTTTTTTCCTTTTCCTCCTTTTCCTTTTTTTCCTTTCTCTTTTCTTTTCCTTTCTTTTGCCCAGTCGACCGTCATTTTCTACCGCGGTTTTCTGTTTCCCTTTTCTTTTTTTTTCGCTTTGGTTTGTTTTGTTTTGTTTTTTCAAGTTTTTCCTTTCTGTTTTGTTTTGTTTTCTTTCTGTTTCCCGTGGCGGGGCACACGGCGGGCGTCGATGTGGATGAGCATCTAGAAGGAGAACCCTCCGA